CCTACGACATATATATATATATATATATATATAGGCATGCTTTCATGCAACAGTTATATAGTAATATAATGCAACAATCTTCAAAAACCATGTTAGGGTCATTTGTTTTATTCAAACTTTAAAATATACACTCTTTACATTCTAATGAACAATCACGACAAACAAAAATTTGATATGAAACCTAGAAAGTATTTTTCTAGCCCAATTAACACAGGCCATCCATTTTGATAAGATGCTTGGATCTAGGACTTAGAAGGATTTTTTTTTTTCTAAAATTTTTAAATGGCTTTATTATCATTAGACGAACAATGTTAAAAAAGAGAAAAATGATTTTGAGTTTGTAAAAATTCACCAAATGAATGGTATAGATTCGTTGTTGGAGATGACTCATTTTGATCATATCTAGGATTCAAATTGAATTTTTTTTTGATTGATTATTGAGATGAATAGAGTGTGTGTGTAAAATTTTGAGTCATGCAAATACTACAAAAATGGTTTTCTAGAAATTTGATTGCATTATACTACGATACAACAGTGGTATATATGGTATATTTCTATCAGCCTAAGAAAGTGGCATCCCAAGATTCTTCTCGAACCATCCAAGTTTTGGGAGGAACAATCTAGATGTTTAAGAGTTCATAGTCCTTTTTTTTTTTTTGGAAAATAATCATTTAGTTATAAATTTGTAATTAGATGGATCCCAATATTCCAAATAAAAAAGGTCAAGCAAATTAGTGTTTTGCCCGAGGGACTAGAAGTATAGTATATACTCCCAAGGGAGCATAGTATATTTGATCCCCATTCCTAATAATTTTATTATTACTTTCCAGTTAAACAGGTGTTTATAAATGGAGATAGGGGTGGGAGTTTTAGGTCAACGAACATTACTGAGGATCAATCAGACCACACAGCCCTCAAGCTCAGATGGAAGAAAGCCATCAAATTGCAGTTCAACGCATGAGAAATTCAATTAAGAAGTTAGGTTCTTCAGTAGAGGTAAGATCTCTCTCTCTCTCTAGAATTCATGCTGCACCACACCAGAAACTCAATCGAGAAAAATGGGATTTTTTACAGAAATGTGAATGTGCACACTCTCTCTCATAGCCATTTCACCAATGCTCCGACATCAAAATCTCTCTTTCTCTCTCTAAACCACTTTTCAGAAACAAAAAGATGCAACTCTCATGAGGTTCTTAGTGGCAAGGTCAATGGACCCTGAGAAGGCAGCTCGTATGTTCGTGCAGTGGGCGAAATGGAGGGCTGATTTTGTGCCACGTGGTCATATACCAGATGACGAGGTTCTCCAAGAACTAGAGAGCAAGAAAATCTATTTGCAGGGCCTCTCAAAAAATGGCTACTCTCTCCTCATTGTTCTTGCAAGAAAGCATTTCCCTTCAAAAGATCACTTACAGTTCAAGAGTAAATTACATATCCTTTTAATTTTCCTTCCATCTTTCCATTTATTTCTCTTGCTTTCTTTAATTTGAATTTTATTATTATTTTTTTTATTTTTTTTATTTTGTGTGTGTGTGTGTGTTCATTGTTTGTTTTCTTTTTCTCATCCTTTCAAGAAGAAAGCACTGTATAAAGTTTCTCTTATTTTTAATTTTGACACCAGAGTTTGTGGTTCATTTGCTCGACAAGACCATTGCCAGGTAAAATAAAATCACGTTTGAAAATCTTATTTTTTATTTGACACATTACTTTTTTTCCTTTTTTTTTTCCTAATATACTTTTGGGTGAATTTTTTTTTTCAGTTCGTTTAGTGGAGAAGAGAAGGGAGATGAAAAATTAGTAGCAATCCTTGACCTCGAGAGTCTCACTCTCCAGAACATTGACCCTCGCGCATTGATTACTGGTTTTCAATTTTTACAGGTAAGTTTTTTTTCAATGAATTTTTTTCGTCAGCAATGAGGTTTCTTATTAACTATCAAGCATTATCATAAAACTCTTAGATATGCACAAACACTCAATTTCACAACCATATGGAATGGATGAGATAGGAGTTTTAATCACCCGAGCTGACTTGGAATCACCTAATCGGACTCATCATCAGGAGGCTCCTCTTTGTGGAGGCCCACTAGGGTCGGATCTTCCTTTTTTTAGTTTTTTTTTTAATTTTATTTTGATTTTGTTGTTACATATAACCCGATTAAACTCAATAATAACCCAAGTTTGACCCCAAGAGAGAGAATCGGATGCCGAGGGGGTTGACCCAATTTCGATTTTTGAAACACTTGAGGGGGTTATATAACTTTGTTTGCCTTAGCCCTCTCCACCAGAAGATTTGACAAGGAGATATTTGAATTGCTTACGATTAAGTATGGTGTCTGCTCCTATTAGGAATCCGCAATTCTGAATTTAATATCGGATTGCTTTTATTATTACCATTTTTTTTTTTCAACTATTTGGGATCGATTATATGAATCAGGATCCGTCATTCTGTTTTATCAAAAATCATATCCTCAATGAGGCTTTTTAGTCTGTATATGTCTTTTTGGGCATAGACCTTGTCATTTTTTAGCTTTCCTCTTGGACCAACTCGCATAAGTTTTGATAAAATTTTATGTTAATTGCCTAACTAACACAGCCTATGTCCTTTAACGAGGCTTGGGAGGGATTAAAGAAAAGTTTAACATCCTCACCCCATGCTTAGACCAATTCCAAATTTAATATAAGATATAATATATAAATCATATGTCATATGACTATAGCGGCTTTTTCGATAGCGCATGTAGTTGCAATGCATTAGTTTGTACTTTGGAGATTCGAAGCCCACTTCTAACGGCACAAACTTAGGATTTTTATTATTATTATTATTTTATTTTTATTTTTTTAAGCTTTCTAGATCACTCGTCCAGATTGTTAATCCAGTTGATCTACATTTAGGTCGGCAAGTGGTGATCCTTATTTTAAATTCTTCAGTTCATAATAATTCCCAGTTGATCTACATTGAGGTCGGCAAGTGGGTGATCCTTATTTTAAATTCTTCAGTTCATAATAATTCAACTTGATTCTTTGGTATCTCGTATTAGGTCGTTGTTTATCATCTAGTTTTGTTTATGGGAAACTTACAACTTAAATTGAAAATGTTTTTTTGTAAAAAAAAAAGTTTATACGAGGTTGAGGCTCTAAACAATCAAGTTAAGGCGCACCTCAAAAATTTATTAGAAAAGTTTGTTTTGATGTCAAAAAAATCTCAAATTGATCACCTCGAGATGCATAGCCGTGAAAAAAAATAGACTTCAAGTCTGAAAAATAGTGCTTCTTGTAATACATTATATAGGCCGTCAATTTTTAATATTTTCAAGTGTTTACACATCAGCTCAATCTACACCATTTTTGAAACATTAAACTTTGTAATTAGAGATGAAATAGATTTGAAGGTCATTGCAAAGATTTTGGGTACTGAAAAATCATATTTGATACCATTTAGAAGCACGCCTTACTTTAATTGTTCGGAGCCTCAACCTTATACAGAACCCAACCTTCCTGTAATTGTGAGAAACATCCTTCATTTCACACCTCCCAACACAGGTAATACGAGCTAATATGGGAAATTTTAGGCGGTCCTTTGGGAAAGAATTGTGCACTTGATTATGAAATGTTAGGGATTTGTTGGACCCTAGAAATCGCATATCATCTTTATCTCATTCTAAGATCAATTTAGAAGAACAAAATATTTGATTTGATGATCTCTAAATTCATAAAGAGAATCCGATTGAATTTGGACGGCACATTTTATGGGATTGTTTGGGGTTCAAAATCTTGTTCTTCTTTTTTTATTTTTTATTAGTTATAAGGTGAATAAAAAATTATTTGAAAAAATTCAGATCATAAAAATCCCAAATTCCAGGACCGTAGCACCAAATGCAAAATTTGAACCTATTGGACGACAAGTTTTGTTTTCTAGAAGGACATGGTTTCTATGAGTCCATATATAAATGAGTCGACTCTTAAAATTCTATTTTTAAGATTGATTTTTTACCCAATTTTTAAGGACATAATCTCTAACACGGAGATCATAAATACAAAAAAAATCAATGAATTTTAAAAAATAAAAATTGATTTTATGAAGAAAACATTTGGCACATCTATATCATCAAATCGCCTACAATCTAATATTCGTGATTCGAGTTTTACAACGTTTGTTATATATTGTCAGAATATCCAATATGCCATTTTTTTCTTTTTTCGTTTTTTAGTGTGTCAGTGGAGAGGGGACCCCTACCCTTCGTAGGAATTAACTTGTTTTCGTTGAGCGCTACTAGAAACGAGCTTACTAGCATAGAACGAAACTCGTTTAAACTCCACTCATTCTCGTTGGCTTTGGCTCCACAAGTTACGTTACTGAGAATGGTTTGATGGTTTGGTGCAGTGGGTGATTTTCCTTCCTCTTTCAGCTAGCTTTGTATTTCTGATTAGTTAGTTAAAACGGCCATCTGTCAGAGACGGGATATCCTGAAAATTTGGAAAAATGGTGAGTCAATGAGGATTTGGCCCCAACCCTTCGGTTGGAATCGGGAGAATAGAAAAAGGATTTGGCCCCAACCCTTCGGTTGGAATGGTGAGAACGGAAAAAAGTGATGAGTTAGCAAGGATTTGGGCCCCTACCCTTTGGTGAGAATGGAAGACCTCTTCATGGGGCTCGGCAATACTAACACCAAGGCCCCATGCCATTTTCGTTTCAATGTGCCTTTTTGAATTATTGAAAAGTGGGCACTAAATTCCATTATGTATGCATTCTATGAAAAATGCCTATTGAATATACGTTTTGATACATTTATGAATGAAAAGGGCATCACAAGGTTTAAAAAATTGGTAATATGGATCGAACTGCCCAATCCGCATCAAGAATCAATTAGGCCGATATGGATCACTTAAAATATTGGGAATCGGCTGGTTTCCCCTATGAACTGATTAGTTCGTACCGGTTCTCTTACAGAACCATATTTTTTTAATGTTGTTTGTTTTAATCATTAGACAGCATGTTTTAACCGGTTTCGACCAGTTCTCTGACATAAATGGTCGATTGTGTCAGAGAAGTGATCAAAACCGACACCACTTAATTTTGTAAATTCAAATTTTTCTTTTAGATCGTCAATACCCCAAACCGGATTGAAAATCCAGAGGGTCATCGTTGATCCATTTTTTAAAACTTTGTGCCATGACCTTTATATGAATGATGAAGTCCTTTATATCTAATATCTTTAAATAGAAATGCATATAGTAAGATTATTTATTTTTGGCACAAAAATATTACAATCATTATTGACTAGTGGATGTGAAATTAGGTGGTTAGGGATGTATCATTGACTGCTTACAAAGTTTAAAATAAAATTTCTCAAATATTGTGACGTACTTCAATTTTTCGGATTTTGTACTAACGATTGAGAATGATTCTTACCCAACCAAACATGTTATCTAACAAGCATTTTCTATTTGCTATTTTTCTGTGGTATGGAATGATGCAGGCATACTACCCTGAGCGGCTAGCAAGATTATACCTATTAAACATGCCATGGATTTTTGTTAGTGTTTGGAAGATGGTATCGCGTTTCTTAGAGAAAGCAACACTAGAGAAAGTAAGCTTTCATTGTCCCTATTACCTCTCCTACAATTTTAATTTATGGGCAGATATAGGGCTGGCAATGGGCCGGGATAAACCCTAGCCCTAGTCCCCATAGGACCGGCCCAAGCCCAGCTCAGCCTTGACCGACCAAAAAGTTCCTTTGCCAGGGTTTACCCCAGCCCTAGTTTTTTAGGGCCCTGGCAAGGAGCCTTTTAGTCAGACATATCCTAGTCTAGTCAGCCCTATCAGGGTCGGGCCGGGCCAGGCCAAATAAAATCAAACAAAAACAAAAGACAAGCCGGGCCAAACCGGGGTGGCCTTCGACCAATCCCAGCCCGTAGAGACATAGTTGCTCTGGCCTAGCCCAGCCCTAGGGCCACATTTCTTGGCCCAAACCCTAGTTTTTTAGGGCCGGGCTGACCAGACCGGGCCATTGCCACCCCTAGAGAGAGAGATTGACAAAGTTAATGTAAGCAGGTTGTGATAGTGGGAAATGAAGAAGGCAAGAGGACAATTTTGGAAGATATAGGAGAAGGGACTTTGCCGGAGGAATATGGTGGGAGAGCCAAGCTTACACCTCTTCAAGATGTCAAGCTTAGTCACTGGCCACTGACTGCTTGACAGAATTTTAATGTTTATTTCTTTATTTCTTCCCATTGTATGTTCACTATTTTGGTTCCTTTTTATTTAAAATAGGGATTTTTAAGAAAACAGTTATAGGAGTGGTTTGCATAAGGTTGCAGCCTTGAACAATCCTAATCCTATTAGAACGTACCTCTAACTTTTATCATAAATGTAATTTTGATATAAATTTTTTTTTAGGATGGCTTGAGAATCTACTTTTATCTTTAATTATAAAATTTTAAATTCTAAACATAGTTCAAATAAAGTAGATCTATAAACGCATGAAAATCTTGAAAATGGACAATCTAAATAATGTATTTCAAACAACCTTTTATGATGGATTTTTCATGTACCTTTAATTCTACATTTTAAAATTGTAACCTTATATAATTTTTTTTCCTAATTTTATTATTATATTACACCTCTTGAATCTTTAATTTTGATTTTAGCATTCCGACCGAGACACACGTAGATTCTTTTTTAATTTTCCCTTTTCCTTAATAAATATTCTAAACATATGTCCAAGCCTATTCCTTTAATTGGTTCTCTCTCTTGACTATTTTCTTTTTTGCCACGTAATAGAAGGTAGGTGAGGTTTTAAGATTGCATAGGAGCTATATTTTTAGCTGAAAAATGAAATCTAATAGCTAATTTATTAAGCTTAATGGTTCCTTTTTTTGGTTATTCGCATGGCCCCTCTTTTGCATAGAACAAGTGATACTGCACTACATGTTTGACAAAACAGGATCTAAATATTCAAATTTTAAAAAATCTAAATAAACACATTGCTCTGTTTTTCGTATATCCTAATTGTATATACTGATAATACGAGGATAAACCTCTAAAATCTTGAAGAATTCATCATTAGAGAAGCCTTCTCCTCTGCAAAAATTCCAGTGCATTTCCAAATGCTCGACTGTGTAGCCTAAGACATGGGGGAATTGATTGATTGACGTTCTCATTGAGCTTCCATTCTTTGGACAAATTCAAGATAAAATCAATTCCAGGGATGATAATAATTTTGAGATCGAGGAGGTCGTTGAATTATGCCGGAACACCTTTGGTTGTATACTGTTTCCAAAATGTGATTACCAACAATTTCATCAGCAATCATTTTTAGATTGACGTTGCTCAAAACTCTAGTTTTTCATGGGGAACACCGTGATTGATAAATGATCGAACACTTCTAGAAATATCAGAGACAGAATCGAGCTCAGCTCCAATCAAAAGATGCTCAATTCTCTCTGGTTTGATTCCTTTCAAGTTCTCTGTAACGAAATTGAAGAACGCATAGACCTCAACGATCAAAATCTCTGGTCTTTCGTTGATCAAATGATAGAGAAAAGATCCAGTGATTCTAATGGACTTTAGAGACTCTTACCTTGACCTAATTGAATCAATGGTGGCTATCAGAAGAAGAGGGTTTTCGTGTAGCTGATACTTTGTTTCTCTTTCCAGAAACCCAATTGCCTAGATTTGTGGGCTTTTGGGATATTAGAAGATACCATATGATCCTATCAAACAGGGCATACAACCTTATATAATTCAAATTATAGAAAATTCTATATCATCTAGAAATATTAGAATATTAAGAGTGCTATCAAAAATACTAAAGAGAATAAAGATATGGTAATCTTTTAGTACTTGAATTGGAAATTTCAACTTTTGCTTCTTCTTTTTTTTAACCACAAATTTTATTAAAGAATAAAATAAGAAAAAAGGTTCAGAGGGGGTACAATTATGTGAAGGATGCAATCACCAATAATGATCGATTAACATCTCCTTTTTTTTTCTTTTTTTCTTTTTTTTTTTTAAGTCATAAATTTTATTAAAGAATAAGATAAGCAAAAAAATTCAGAGGAGGTACAATCATGTGAAGGATGCAATCACCAACGATGAACACCACCCTTCACAAAAGCATCAACCTCAAAGTTGGCCTCAGAATGAATGTCGACAACTCAAACAAGACAGTGAGCAATACAGAATAAATTTACTCACAAGAGCATCAACCTCAAAGTTGCCTCTTTGTAATTACAATGTCGACAACTGAAACGAGACAGGGAGCCATACAGAATAAATTTACCGCTATGTAATTACAATGTCAACATCTCAAACGAGACAGGGAGCAATACAGAATAAATTTACTCACAAGAGCATCAACTTCAAAGTTGGCCTCTATGTAATTACGATGTCGACAACTCAAACAGAGACAGGCAGCAATACAGAATAAATTTACTGTGGGTTCGGTTGAGCTCACAGAGGGATGGCTCACAGATCACAAAAAGAGATTTACAGGGTTTCCATCCCGTACCTAAGAAATCTCAGGGCTCTCTCTTAATAAACTCTCTAATATTGACCTTTAACCTCTCTTGTGATGGGCACTGTTTTACCTCTCATGGCCTACGATTACCCACCCCTCGTCTGTCTCTCTGACGTGGGTCAGACCTGACTTTTTATGCATATTGTTGAAGGCTTCCGAATTTACAAAGCATTGGGTCCCCTTGTAAAAGCTCCAAATAGAGCCAGGGGCCCTAAACCTTTTTCTCCTCATCAAATTCAACTATGGACAATCACAGTGAGGAATGGACCACCATCAAGCTTTTTTTAGAGAGAAAGAGAGGGCCTGGAGTGTAGGGGGCATCAAGCGATGGAATACCAAGAAAAAGAGAGAAAAGACGGTGCAACTCACAACTGCTGAATACCAAGAGAGAGAAAAGACGAGGCAACTCACAACTACTGAATACCAAGACATAGAAAGGGCCGTCCAATACACAACTGCTGATCTTCGATAGCAAGAAACCACTCCAGTTTTGAGCGACGAGATCTTGGGTAGCAACATAGCGAACAACTGCGGATCTTGGGACTGATAACTATGAGCGACCAGATCCCTGCTGATGTAGTCAATAAACAATGATGCAGGCAAAGAAAACAACAAACTGCACTAAGAAAAGTATAGAAGGCGGAGAGTCAAAACATGATTCGATAATGGAGCTCAGATCAGAGGTTCACAATTCGACTGTAGATATCAAAAAATCTAAGCTTTCTAGGTTCCCCTACTAGAGAACTCTATGTATATTGATGTATTAAAAGGGAAAGCTTTCTATGTTTTTCCTACAACATAGAAGTTCTATCCTCCCCCTTATCCAACCATCCATTTTTTAATGGAGGGTTAAGATTGCCCCAATCACAATGTCACGTCTCTACACTATTTTATTTTTAATTTTTTTTTCTATAAACTATTTTGACACCAAAATTTGGACATTCATTCCTCTATTAAACTCACACTAACAAAAAAATATATAAAAAAAAAATATTTTCAATAAAATAAAATGACCAAAATACCCCTAAAAGATTCAAGGGGTATTTTGGTCATTATTTTTTATCGAAAAATTATTGTTAATATTTTTTATAGGTGCACCTCAATGAGAAGATGGAACGTACCAAATTTTATATTCAAAAAAATTGTATTAAAAAAAATAAAAATAAAATACTTTGAGACGTCGGATCTAAGATCAAACGGTGAGTGGCTCTCTTGATAAAAAATGGACGGCTGGATGGTAGGGGGAGGATAGAACTTCTATGTTGTAAAGGGAACATAAAAAGCTTTCCCGTAATAAAAAATATACAAGATTAGTATAAATATACAGCCAATCATGGCAGCTATAGAAAGATAACAATGACACTTATTATACATATCAAGGGCACATAATCTTATCATAAACAAGAGATTCATATCAATGACATCAAATCAAGAGATAAATATCCTTTACGATAACAATGAGGATTACAAAAATAGTAGAGAGCAAGTATTTTGGCAACATCATAATCAAATTACGACAGCCTTACCAAATTTCATAGGAAATGTATACAATAAAATCATTTACTTTTGATATAAAGAGACCACACTCATCGTTGATCATTGATGGGCATAAATATATATGAACTTCAAATACCTAGTAGGTTACGAGAAATGAAACATGCTTATCAATGACTAATTCTTTCTTTTACTAAAACATAATTTCTAATTCCTGGTGTAGGCATGAATGCATACAAAATCACAAGTTGCGTATGCATTTATCCTCAAATCAAAACTTACTTTTGATGTGTATTTATTTTTAGCATATGAAAAGGATTAATGACCAAAACAATGTCTTTATAGAGCCAAGAGAAAAAGGGGGCAGATGGGGTTAGTTCCTCGAGAGTGGAGGCACGAGAAGAGAAAACGGAGATAATGGGTTGCGAATATTGCAAAGATATAAAATTGGCCTTTTGAAGAGCATAAAATAACAATGGTTTGAGGGTTTTCAATTGTCTTTCAAGGACAAAGAAGTTTTAGAGGGAGAGAGGGTGAGCTTCATAGGGCCTTCATATTGGGGGAGACAAACAAAGAGCTCATATCTATATCCATGTTAGAGAGAGAGAGTTCAAAACAAGCTATAAAAGTATCCCCTTCATTGCAATTATCAATAAATTTGTTTGATGGAAATATAGCTTCTCACTAATTATGTTGTAATTACAAAGGAAAACTAAACCCACCAGAGCTTATTTGAGAGAGAGAAAAACCTAAAAAACAAAAAAAACCTAGATTTTACAATTTTAATTGGATTGAAGTCTTTCTCAAAGTTATGGAAAATGAATCCAAATATTACATTAAGATTAGATTTAATTTTGGAGTTTTTTAGGTTAAGATTGGATTTAATTTTGGAGTTTTATTAGGATAGGGTGTTTTTTAGGATTTTTGCACTAAAAAACATATGTGCAAGTTTGGTGATCGAGCAATTAATGTAAGTGCAAAACATTGTGTTTTAAAATGCTTGTATTATTTTAAAATGTCTTTTTCAGGATCTAGTCGAAGTAGTGATCGGGGTTGGAAATATGGATATAACCCGAATCATTTGGATAAAAATTACATAAGATGCAATTATTATAAAAATGATACAAAATGGGGCAGAAAGTGGTTTAACAAACATGTTGCTAGTATTAAAGGGCCTTAAGCTATCAAATAAGAGATTAACCAATATATTGATTTCTATTTTAAGAGAGTGGGATTTCTATTTTAAGAGAGTGGATTAGGAAACTAGTGATTTGGTTATACAATATTTAATTGAGGTTGTATTTGACATTGTCTAGAGACTGCTTGAATTTTGAGGTGCAATGAAGTTTATCATGCAACATTTGCTTCAATTGTTGTACAAATATATATCTCTCTCTAGGA